CTTTCCCTGAAGCTGCACTCAGCTACTCAGTGCACAGCCACTACCTCATGTGATTTGTATCTTACGTGCCAGCAATTAACACTTTTGTTCAACATTTGTCTAGAAGTGCATGGCCAATGTAGCCTAGTCTGTGTTGCCTCAGAGGAGAGTTTTTCCCCAGCCTTCTTTAATTCAGTTGATGGGAAGACAAAATATGATAACGGTCATAATCTGAAATATAATTATTTTCCTGTTTTGTATCTTAAAATATTGATTGCAGGAGTTTGCTTAGGAAGTAAATGCGAATCTCATAATTTGGACTATTTAAACTGTTGTGGCCTTCTGATCCCAAGCACTTTCTCAATCTTCTGGGTTCTCTAAGTGCCCCCTAGTGACTAATTCTCTGAACGGTGTTGGGTTTCCATTGTCGGTGAGAGACCAGCCATTGAAGGGGTGGCTGATGAGGGCAGGAGCTGCATAAACGTCCTCATATTATTCTGAGGGCAGCACTAGTTTGTTCTGCAGAAGTAAATAGAAGTGTTTGTTGAGCAGTCTGCAGAAAGCTCCTGGCAGAAAATCAGTGAATGTATATGCAGCTGTTGTGGAAATGTCTAAGCTGAAACGTGAGTCAAATCAAGTACAAATCACTGGAAGAAAAGCTGTTCAGCTGACACTGCACAACATTTGAATGGTTTAGGTGAAGTGTGGCATTAATGAAATTTTCCTGAATATTAAATACTGATGTTCATATATTCTACAGTAATTCACTATGTTGAATTTATTTTCTCAATGAATTGACAACTCAACAGATCAGAGCTGTTAGCATTGCTTTTCATTCTGCAGTAAAGTGCTGGTTCTTATTTCTGGTGCTGCTTTAGGTATGGGTTTTTTGTTGTATTTTTCCTTTTTCGAAGTAAAAATTCAAGTGTCTTTTTAAATGCTTAATGCATCCATTAATATAGGCAGTGTAGGAGTTCAGTTCAGGAACTGATTTATCTGGGCTATTAAAGTCATATGACAATGTGCTGAGGCCAGATATGGAGGTGTTGTGCAGACTGGCACATACAAAGTTTCTTTATGTTCTTACATTGTATTAGCTGCCCACCAACTTCTTTACTCCTACTCAGTTGGCAGGTAAGGGATGCTGGGGCGGTGTAATTTACGTGGTAAGCTCATCTTACCATATAAGCATTAAGAACATATAATTGAGATGCACCTCACCTTGTTTGAACTTGCTTGTTTTTTTCTGTCCTGCTCTGTGTTTGCATGGTGTTCAATACTATAGGCCATAGACCTTAGTGGAATGACTGGGCATTTATATTACGAAATACAAATTTTGTTCTTCAACTGGTAGCATAAATGTTGTGGAAAGCAGAGTTTTGTTTGGATTTAGCAAAAGCTCTCATCTGGAATAGATGTACAGGGGGAGTTCAAGGGAAGAAGGCAAGCTGGGATTGGCTCTGGAAATGATCTGGAAAAGTGGACTGTGGAAGGGGCAGGTACAGCTGGGATTTAGAGGACATGTCAGCCTGAATGATGAACACTTGTATTCATCTGTGTAACTCCAGTGGTAACCAACAACAGGACATGAAGCCATGGAAAGAAGCTGAGCCAGGGGAAGTTCAGACTGGACATTAGGTTTTTCACTGAGAGGATGGTTGGTCACCAGAACAACAGAACCCAGGAAAGTCATCATGGCACCAAGCCTGTCAGAGCTCAAGGAATGTCTTGTTATAAGGTTTAGCTTTAGGTGGACCTGTGATGAGCAGGAAGTTGAAGTTGATCATCATTACAGGTCAATTCCAGCTTGAGATATTCCATGATTCTAACTCTAGCAATTTTGTCATTAGCTGAACTGATTTTAAATAAGTGTAAGACTGTCATGAACTTGGCATTGATGAAATGTCTTGGTCCCTGATTTGCAAACTTACAGGTGGTCTAGGGTTGATCTGTTTTAAATTATTATAGTGCAAAAGAACGATAGCACCAAGGAAGTTGAATAATAATGTGACTTTTTGTTAACTGCATTGGACAGAATGAGGAATTAACTGCATAAAAGAAAGAATTGCATCAAGCTTTCTGAGGGATTATAGGAAAATTCTGAGTATTGACCTTGCTTGGAAAAAGACTACTTAAGAGAGGCAGGCCTGATGCTCAGTAGCAAATGTACAGGGCTTTACTCCTAGCTTCTTAAGTAACCATGCTGCTGTCTAGTTCTCAAGAAAAAAAGGCCTAGGGAACAAAATAGAATGGTTCAATTTGAAGGGACCTCCAACTATCATCTAGGTCAACTGCCTGACCACTTCAAGGCTGACCTTCCCTCCCTCCCCCCTTGCCAAAATACAGTGAAAAATCAGTGGGCTGGTTTTGTGTGTATGGATATCTGGAGCCATGTCTGTGAACAAGAGGAGAAATGCAGCTGCTGACACCTTGTTCTCTAGACATGAGCTGAGATCTTTGGATCTCTACTGTAAGAGTTCCTGACTGTAGCTTATTCCAGGTGTGCTTTTGCTAAAATATGGTGACTGCCTAAGTAGAACAGGAAGATGCTACAGCCCAGGATACTCTGGTCTCATATACAGTAACAAAGAAGCTGTTGTAAAAAGTCACGTAAGATGAGTGGTTGTTTTTCCTCTAAAACCTTCTGAAAACTCACCCAAAATTTCATGGGCAATTTATTTTATGTCAGACAAATGTCTTGAATCCCTGGCACTAAATCCTACACAGCTTGAAGAACTTTAGACAGTCACTGAGTTTGTATACACATAAATATATATTTATCTAAAATACTTAGAAAACACAAGGTGGTGAAAAAGCCTATGTGCTCTTTAATATCACTGGCAAGGGGTTTGCCAAAGCAGCTGTGGTACTAAGGCTTAGTACAGCACACATGACTCAGTCAAGTTCTCTTTCACTGAGAGCTAACCACTGGCAACAAATAAGAGATCTCAACTTTTTCATAAGTTTTGAGTGCTTTCTTCTTCTGTTGGTGGGAAAGAGAGAAGGGCTGGGGAGGGGAAAAGGTGTTTTAAAGGTTTATTTTACTTCTCATTATCCTCCTCTGGCTCTGTTAATAATAAATTTACCTTATACCTTTAAATTTGAGCCTGTTTTGCCCTTAGAGTATTTTTCTCTCAGTTCTTATCTCAACTCATAAGCCCTTCATTAATTTTTTGCCCTTTCCTCTGCCCAACTATAGCAGAAGAGAGTGAATGACTTTTGTGGCTGCCTGGCGTTTGGCCAGTATCAAACCATGACAAGTGTATGCACAGGGCCCTCTGCAGACACAAAAACTTGGTAACACATCAGGCCTCTTCTTCCCTGAGTCATTGAGCATAGATTAATCTTTGCTCCAGCATTCATGTGGCCTTTGGGTGTTCTAAAGCAGCAGCCCCTGAGCATCACACAACTTCCATGGTGAGTCTGCTACAGACTTTGTATCTCTCCCCCCAAAACATCAAGTCATGTTTGGAAAAGAAGCTGCCAGTTCCAGATGGATCACTGAATGGCATCGTGGATCCACTGAACCAAACTGAAAGATGTTTTAAATTAATTTTAGGACAAAAGGAGAAAAAGAAACACCCAACACCACAGAACTGAAACCCTGCTCTTCAACAGGAGAACAACATACTCTCTGTTGGTATCTTGCACAGAATTTCACTCGACTGGAGCTAATGTCTGCTTCAGAGGAAAGGATTATGGGAATTGTAAGAGAGGTTTCTAAGAAACAGAAGAATGGTCTGATGTGAGCAAAGCAAATAATGAGGCCTGCTGGCAAATGAAACACTGAGCCTAACATCAAGCTGTAAATGAGCAGAGATGAATATGCTGTTAGAAGCTGCTTTGTGGAAGGACTTAACAAAAGTGTTTAGTGAATGCAAACCATCTTGCACCCAGAGAAGTTAGGAGGGAACAGTGCAGATTCATAGCAGTAGGTATTCAACACCAAAAGCTGCTCTTTTGAACGCTGATGGGTTAAAGTAGTACAAAGTAAATGAGTAACTTTACATTTCAACTGCAATTTATGTGCAAACTCACAGAGGAGAGGAGATTTGTGGTTTCTGTTTTGTCTAAAGCCCAAAGGATGCTAATAAATGAATGCACAGCAGGAATTGCTTTTGTTCTCTCCTTTGTTCTTACCCTGGGAAGGTCTAGAGTTATTTGTCTCACTGTCCCCAAGTGGACACACTGTGCTAAATGGTGTAAGAGTTAATCTGTGTAAGTTTTGAGCAGACAATTTTATTTAATTGACCATGGAATAAGCATGAGTTTAATGTCTCAAATACATTTAAGAGGAAAAATCATTTTATAAAATGGCCACGACTGCCTGCCAGCATTAATGATATAACCCACTCTCCATGGCCAGGTGGAACAAAAAGTCATCCTCATGACAAGGAATGGGACTCTTAAATACTGTTTTCATCTTCCCAGTGTTTGCAGAGCTCTAACACATGGGTGGTGGTTGGACTGAGGCTGGAGGGAGCAGGGCTTGTGCTGTATTCTCAGTTGTGGTCACTGCAGGGGTGGCTAAGCCTGGGTCTTTACCAAAGCAGGCAGTTAACAGCTGTGGGTGTGTAACACCATGGCCAGCCCATGCAGCTGTCCCTGAGCACCAGAGGCTGGGTGAGAAGTAGCTGGTGTACCTACTTCTGATGGCAATGGCTTCTCCCAGCACTGCTGCCTCTTGCCCCACCTGTGTGATCATTGTGGCAGCAGACCTGCCTGCTCATGTTCTCTCTCAGCTGTGCCTGGACCTACTTCTGTTCCTGTCCTTCATCCTTAGGCTTTCAGATCTTCTTCAACTTCCTTTTTTTTTTTTTTCCTCTTTGTTTTTTGCCTTTTTTGCTCAGAGCATGAAGGATCTTTCCAGTGCTGTGACACTGGAGGCAGGTAAATAAAAGGGATGCTGTCAGCCTGTGGTTTTGAATGGGAATGTGATTGTTGTCTCCCAGAGCAACTGCAATGATTTTAATCGGTTCCTTATGAATGTGGCTTCTAAAACCAGTTTGTTCTCTCAACAGGCAGCAAGTGGAGTAGTGGATATTGTGGATATTGTGGAGGAGACCTGGGTGCAGACACAGCATCCTGTTGTGCCCACAGGCATGTGGACCAGCTCTGAGAAGTGGCATGTGGCAAGGCTGGGTCGGTGGAGACCCAGAAGCTTCATGTCTGGGGAGGCAAAAGAAGAAGCTGAGCACAGACAGGTGAGGAACATCCCAGCACCAAAATAACTTCAAATCTGCTGGAGGACTGGGGATAGAGTGTATTTCAAAATGGGGAACCTGCAGCATCCTCGAGAGAAGCCTGCAGTGGTGTCTGGCATGGAACACATGTTGGTTGGGACAAATAGTTGTATTTTTGAGATTATTACATTACTCAAATATTACATCTATGACATTGGATTGACTGTCTCTGTTTAGTTTATCTTGCATGAGCATTTTGACAGGGGAGAAGGAAATGAAAAGGTGAATTGTATCAAATTGCTGACAACAACAGTGCAACAATGCCAGTGCATGACAAGTTTCTTGCTCAGTTTCACCTAATCTGGCACAATCAGGCACATACCTTAGGGTCAGTTTAGGAACAAGATGCTTACAGAGAGCCCTGTGTTAGAAAGCAGTGAGGGAACAGTTTTGCTGGGACTGCAGACATGCTGTTTGGGTTGTGGTTTTTGAGGAAGAGCATTTGAGGATAGGTGAGGAACCCAGTCCCACTTTTCACTGAGACAAGTACAAACCCCTTTCTGCCCTGCAAATGTCATGCTGTGAGTCAATAACCCTAAGTGTTGTACACAGGTCCTTTACACTGCTGTTTAATTATATAAACACTCATGAAGAATACTTGACCAATATAATGGCCAAACTGACATAAAAAACTTGAAAACCACAGATCAGGTGGCGGGAAATCCGTGGAATAAGAATGTGCAGTGATCTCTTGTGCCTGTCCTTGTGTGCTGCAAGATTATCCCAATTTCTCACAATTTCTTGTCAAGCTTTATATGAGCTTGTCCCCTAGCTGAACCCTGTTTGCCTCAGACAGTGCTCTTTGGCATCTTTTCCAAATGTGATTGCACCCTCTATTGCATGAATTAGAGCTGGTTTTCTACAGACAAATACCTTTTATTCCTACTATGACTACTGATTTATGTGCCATCTTCCTGCTACAACAAATTCTACAAGACCTAAATACTAATATATACTAGGGCTTTTTGCAGTGTTATGGTAACCTCCGAAGATAAAATTAAGAATGCTTCACTATTAAGGCTCTGAATTTTAAGTTTTATTTTAAAAGTAGAGCAGACTGCACTACATCATTACATCTTCTTTGCAAACCATGAGGAAATTTGAAAGACAAGCCCAAAATATGTCACTATAAAAGAAAAATGCCTAATTTCTCTAGCCTAGGAGGGGGAAGAGTGTTAAATAGAGAAGTGCATCACGGCACTGTTGTACGGCATCTGCTCTACAGGCCTATCAAAAAATACCTCTGTACCCGCTAAAAATCTTACTATCACGATCCGCCCCGCCAGTGCCAAATTGGGAATGAGCGCATCTGTCCGGGGCGGGAGCGGCTGCGGCGAGCGCTGCCGCACGGGGGCCGCGGAGCGGTGCGGACTGCGCGGACAGCGGGCGGCTCTCCCTGGGCCGTGAGGGGCCGTGAGGGGCCGGCCCCGCCCCGGGGCGGCGGCGCTGCCGGCGCGGCTCCTGCCCGGCCGGCACAAAGGATGAGCAGGCGGCGGCCGGGTCAGCACCAGGGTCAGGGCCGGCCTTCCCCCGCGGCGCCGGTGACTCTGGGGTTTTGGGAGCCCTCGGTTCCCGACGCAGAAAAACTGGAACCGGATTCTGCCAGAAAAGTAGACTTATTTTCGGCGTAGCGGTGAGGGGAGATGACCCTGCCTGCCGAGCGCATTGCCTGAGCACACGCGTTTGTGCCGGCATCGCCTTCCAGACTGTGATGTGCAAGTGTTGGTGTAACAGACGTGGAGCGCGAAAAATCCCAAATAACTATTGATACTGAGGGCTAGCAGCCCTCTCCTCTCCCTCTCCACTAAGGGAGAGGTTTCCTGCCTTGCTGCTGTTGTGATCACCACGTAATTTACCCCAGGGCAGGTTTGAGATGTCTTCCTGTGAACCACCAGTAAGCTGAGGAAGATGGGGGATTGAGGATATAGGCTCAGTTCATAGTTTTACACGGATTTTCTGCTGGACCAGTGACATGCTGTCAATAATAGCCTTTCATTTCAAGTATTTGCAGGTCACCACATGTATTTTTGAGCTGTGCATGGGGGGTTTTTCCTTATATCACAAAAACATTGCCATTTAGGACTTGGAATGCAATCGCTTTGCAATGCACAGTAAAGAGCAGGAAGATAAAGGAGGATCTAGTATGAAATGAAACTAATAGATGAAAATAAAGAGATAACACCCTCTGTGCCAATGGCAAGGTATAATAGTAGTGAAAGGGGCTACTAGCTCATCTTCTTTGTCATGGCTCTGTGAAAGAAAGGGTTTTTTATAGCCACTGTCATGAATCTGAGTGGATTTTTGTTATGTCTTCTTTCAGGCATCTCCTAATTTTTAACAAATTCTCATTGTAAGGAAATTACTTTTTCCTGGAGGCTGATAAAGGTACTCTGCAAAGTAAGTACTCTGCTTGTGAGAGACATGGGTCATAAGAAGTTTTCAGTAATTTGGAGGAACAGTGTCAAGGGGAACACTGGTGCAGACGTCTTCACGAAGTCTCCATATGCTTCTCTTTCTGCTGGTCCTTGTTTGGGACTTTGTGGCTAATGAGCCTTCCCAGCAAGATGCAGCTTGCTGTTGGTGCTGTGTGAGGTGAGGGTTGTCAAGATGTGCAGCTGGGATGATGAATTGCCCTTTCTTCTCTCTTGCATGATAGACACCTCTTCTGAGGAGAAGCAGTCTTGAGGAAACCCTTGATACAATATTAGCAATATTTCAGTAGATGCCTTCTCACTCTCATCCTTCCTTATCCTCCTTGGCCTGCAAATGCACTCAAGTTACTCCAGCTGCAATCTCCTGTGAGGTGCTGGGCAGTCAGTTTTGTACTGTGCAGTGTCTCTGGATGCCTGCATGGAGCTGAGGATTGGTCTGTGTGGGCATCATCCCCCATGCTTAACACTGCTTGGGTTAGCGTGATGGAAAACCTCGGCTTGGGGGGTTCTGCTTTTGGTCATAGTTGGGGATCTGCAATAAATTGTGGCTTTGTTTAGACTAAGGGCTACAGGAAGGAAGAGCAGTATATGAAAGGTGCCAGATGAAGAAGCAGAAAACATGAGATTTAGGGGAGTGCTGTACAGCCAAAGAGTAGAAGAGCTGGGAGTATTTTCCCCAGGGGAACTGTAATAAAAAAAGTAAGAGGCTTGTTTTAGTCACTAGTGTGCAGTTGTGAGGGTTTGGTGAAGAGGCATGGGGTGGTGTGGAGCTGTTCTTGTGCAGCAGCAGCAGCTTTGGTCTGTGGGCAAGGAGGCATAAAGAAAAGGTCAGACTTCACTCATGAGCTGTTTCCATTTCTGGCAGAAAGAATCAAGAAATCACATGTGGTTTATGCAGCAGATCTGTTGGCATCTATCTGATGTGCTATTTTGGAAACCATTTGGCCGTTTTACCCACCACACTGTGCAGGCTTTGGCTACAGGAGTGATTCTGATGAGATCCAAGGAGCCTATTCAGCACTTGGGTACCATTAAGCACTGAAGGAGTAGCAGTTTTGAGGGTAGCTTGTGGGGTGTGTATCTTCTTCTCATGATTCAGTTCCTAAGGATCAGACCCCCTCCTTGCAGTGGAGATATCTTTGCTGAATTCAGCAATGGAAATAGGAATAAAACCAAACTTGGTCATTGAGAAAAAAGTCTTGCATTAAGCCTTGGCCTCTGCACAGGCAGCAGGAGTCCTAGGATCAGTAGCAAAAGGATTTCTTGCCAAAGTGATTTCATGTTGCAGCAGGGGTCAGGAATCTGCTGCCAGACCACAGCTTTGCATTATTGTAAACAGAGACTGAGATTATGATTTATTTTTTTAGCTTGAGCGAGTTTAACCCAAGTGAATTCTACATAAATGTAAGCCCTCTGCTGACCCACTGGGAGCTGGGAAGTGTGACATCTGTGACTGTTAATTGTTTTAAATATTTCAATTTTAATCCCCTGTGGTGGCAGGCAAATACTTAGGTAACCTAGACAGTATCTCTGGTGTCTCATTTGTGCAAGGATGCAGGAGATGTGCCCATAAAGCACAAAAGCCTTCCATCAAGAGATGGAAAGAAGAAGTTGTAACTAACACAAAGGCCATACTTCATATGTGAAATGTTGACAAATGACTTGAACTTCAGTAAAAAAAAATTAAGCAAAGTTTTTCTTACCTCAACCATTTTCTTCTGAGCTGTTTGTCTTCCAGACCCCTTGCCATGATGATTCCACCATCGGCACCAAGCCCTGTCAGCGATGCTGCCCTCTTGTCAGGGGTGGCTTCTCAGGAAGTCTGGAGGCCGCCAGTGCCGGGCTATTCTGGGCTGCCCACCCGGCACATCAGTCACCGGGCCAACAACTTCAAGAGACACCCGAAAAGGAGGAAGCACATCCGGCCTTCGCCGCCGCCGCCCCCGAACACTCCCTGTCCCATGGATCTGGTTGACTTTGGGGATCTCCAGCCTCAGAGGTCTTTCCTGGAGCTCCTTTTCAATGGGTGCATTCTCTTTGGGCTTGAATTCAGCTATGCCATGGAAACAGCCTACGTTACCCCTGTGCTGCTCCAGATGGGGCTGCCAGACCAGCTCTATGGAATGGTGTGGTTCATCAGCCCTATATTAGGTAACTTTTTGTGTACTATTTCTTCCCTCTTATTTTTTCCACTATGGGTTTTTTAAAAATTTTTGTTTGCAGTACCTCAGCTGTTCATGAGTATATTCTCTGGAGGTTAAGAAGTACTAACCACAATTTTAGACAAACAGGAGGACAATTCTTGCTGTGCCCTGCCTGAAATAAGACAAATGTGTTCAAAATACCTGTTCTTTTAATAGCTTCTCAACCTCTTAAAACTTGTGTGAGGGGAACCTTTGGTTGCTCTGTTCCTGTACTTAAAAACAAGCATAAGAAGATCAGTGTATCCATTTATGTCCCTGTGAAAAAAAGCATACAGAGACAGTTTTCAAGGGTGTGTGAAAAAAAGCAGAGTGGGATTGCCTTCTCCTGTTTGACTTGCTGAAACAAATGAGGTGTTCCAGTGATGAAAGACCATTGACACTGGTGATCCAGGCATTGAGTTACTTGCCTTAGCACAGAGGCAAGGCTGGGAGTGTATCCATTACTATGGATACCACTTGGAAAATTTTGTTCTGCCTTTTCTTGTACTCACAACATGTGCTTTGGAAGAAGAGCTAGGCCCCTCCTAACAGGCTGGCACAGATTAATACAGGCATCTTTCCTACTTCCATATTTGCTTCCTGCTGTTTTCCAAGCTAATCCTGCAGGGGATCTCACATGTAATATGGGATAAATGAAATAGCTTGTAAAGAACAGAGTGCTTAAGAATGTGTAACTTGTACTCTGACTCTTCACCTGGTGTCAAACTCTGTGTTGCTGATGCAGAGTGAAGTGCCCTGCAGTGAGCAGCAGCACATTCTGTTACTGAGTCCCTGTCCTGGGCAATGCCAGGCAGTGTGCTGTGTGTGCCCCTGGGTGAGCAGTGCTGACTGGGGATGTCACTGCACTGTGCTGTCCTGCCTCAACTGCCTTTTAAGGCATGCCTGTTTTAACTCCTCTGTGAAACAGGCTTGTAGAAGAATCCTGTCCATTGGTGATTCCTTTTTTCTAGGGTTTTTGCTACAGCCTTTGCTGGGAGCCTGGAGTGACAGATGCACATCAAGATTTGGGAGGAGAAGACCTTTCATTCTGGTTTTAGCAGTAGGTGTGTCTTCTAGAAATTACGGGCATAACACTTAATGTTGTGCATCTCTCTTCTGTGACAATCCCTTGTGGCACTAAGCTGAACAAATTGCTGTGATACTGAGGTGATTGATATACTGTGATACTGAGGTGTTGGGTGTTGTGGGTCTGAAGAAGATGGTGAGTGACACAGCTGATGCTTTGGCAGCTGCAGATCCACACATTAAAGCTTCTCAGAGTCTGAAAGGATGTTTTGAGGGTCAAGAATGTGGATGCCAAAGTAAACTCTAGACATTTGTTAAGCTCAAATAGTGGAAAAGAATTATGTGCATCCTATAAACCACACTCATTTCCCAGGCTGCATTGATATGAACAAGAGCAATAGTGCTTGCTGCAAGGCTGTGCAGGTAGAATAATGCTTTTGGAGTCTGGAGCTCTGCAGGCTTGCTTACAAATAGTGACTGATTTTGTTTTGGTTTTGTTCCCAGGAGCGTTGCTTGGGCTCTCACTTATGCTGAATGGCAAAGATATAGGGAGTGCCTTGTCTGACACTGAGAATAACCACAAATGGGGGATCATCCTTACAGTCTGTGGTGTTGTCCTCATGGACTTCAGTGCAGATTCAGCAGACAATCCCAGTCATGCCTACATGATGGATGTGTGCAGCCCAGTGGATCAAGACAGGGGCCTCAACATCCATGCTTTGTTAGCAGGTATGTCTTCTTGGTGCTTCCTGGGAGATGTCAGCCCTGAGTAAACAAGCCCTGCTGTGAGAAAGCAGGGTGTAAACACTGGTCTTTTCCTGAATAAGCATCATGACTGAATACTGAGAGGTATCACTAACTAACTGTAAAAAAAAAAAAAAAATCGACTTATTGCAAAAGGCTTTTGTAACTACCTCAACTCAAACAAGATACAGTCTTGAGCTGTTCATCTGAAGGTCCCTCACACATTTTGTAAGACCTATGGAAACAAAATTATCCCTTGAGGGAGGAGGTTTGGCTTCCTGCAGGTGTGGAATATGTGTCTTGTAGTTGCTCTGTTGGAGGCGAAAGTACATACTGGGTGCTGTTGATCCCTCACTGCTGTCATCTTCAATTGCTGTGCTGCCCTGTTCTAGGAGACTATTCCACACTCTTGAATGTGTTTGTGAGTAAGAAAGGAGAGTGTTGAAAGACTTTCATCATGTGAATGGAGAGAAAGGTGCTCTCAAAACTTCCCTGTTCATCGGTAGTAACACAGTGGCAGTTTTGTACACTGTCAACACAGTGCTGAGTAATGAGCTTGCTACACTTCTGAAGTGATTGGATCTGTCTTAGTTAGATCTGCATTCCTCATATGAGGAAAATGGATTTTCACTTTCAGGAAAACAGTCTTAGCTGAATGATTGCAGAGCCTTGTCACAAGGCTGGTGGACACTTCTGTTTACGGACTGAAATAGCTAAAGGTAAGGTGTTTTGTTCTTGGCAAAGAAAAATTATAATTTTAAATTATTTGTGTCATCACTTCCTCATTCTGTACCGTGTTGGTACATGCAGACTGTCCTTGTGGCACAGCTGTGTTTATTAGTGCATATGAAGTGAAAAGGGGTCAAATGGTAAAACAGAAATGTCAGATTCTACTCCTGATTCAGTAGACAAGTGATGCTGTGCTGCTGCTGACTTGTGGGACTGGATAGGGAAGATAATCTTAGCTCTGTTTTTCCACCAGGTCTTGGAGGTGGCTTTGGTTATGTTGTTGGAGGAATACACTGGGATAAAACCAGTTTTGGAAAAGCTGTAGGAGGGCAACTTCGTGTCATCTATGTCTTCACCTCAATTGTACTGACTATTGCTACTGTGCTGACTCTAGTTAGCATTCCAGAGAGACCCTTAAAGTCCTCTAACAGGAAGAAAAAGGTGATGAAAAGTCCAAGTCTTCCTCTCCCTCCTTCTCCACCTTTCTTCTTTGAGGACAGTGTAAATGAAAACTCTGCTTCTCATAACTCAGCTCACTTACATGCAAGTTTTACGAGTCCTGTTTCCCCCATGAGCCCACTCACGCCAAAATACGGGAGTTTTATCAGCAGAGACAATTCTTTGACAGGACTTAATGAGTTTGCATCATCCTTTGGGACTTCAAATATTGACAGTGTGCTTATAGACTGTTTTACAGGCGGGCATAATAGTTACATGACACTTCCTGCTAGTTTGTCCAGGCAGCCTGTCAGTGTGAGCTTTCCTCGGGTGCCTGATGGCTGTTACCATGGAGCAAATGGAATTCTGGAGCAAGGGGAAAGCAGCTTAACATCAGGGTCTGATAGTGATGTGCTGAGAGTGGGCTCACTGGATGCAATAAAGCCACGGTCATCGGGGATCTTGAAAAGACCTCAGACCTTGGCCATTCCAGATGCTGTAACAGGACACTGCCCAGAGAATAACAGAAGAAGAAATGTAACCTTCAGCCAACAGGTAAGAGCAGGAAATCAATATGATCATGTAAACATGAGTGTTATTAATCTCTTCATATGGTTTTAAATATGTGGTGCACAAATTATTCGTTAAAGGCTCTTGTGACAGTGTTTCCTCATAAAAGTCATGGGAACAGCACACCTGCTATGACTCTATCAGTAAAGTAGTGGGTAGAGTGTGAATTACGGCTGACAGTCTGTCAGCTGCCTTTGTTAAGATGGCAGAAATGGGAATGTCCCACTCTTAACTGGGCCAGTTGTGAGAGTTAGGTCAGTATTTTTAGTCCTGATTTACTACCAAGGGAGCTACCACATGAACGTAGAAAAGGTCACATTTTCATTGAGCCTGTATCTTCCCTTTCCACAGAAAGACCTGCAAAATAGGGCCAGGGATAGGATTCTCCCATGAGCTTCTCCTTATGGCAGTCATTACATCTGGCTCCATCAGGGAGGTGAGCTTTCCCTTACTGAGGGATAAGACTCTGACCTCACCTCCCACTGTTGGTGATAACTTGGAATGTCTGAGACCTCTGCATGCTGGCCCATTTTTTTATGATCTGGGATGAGGTAAACAGTCCTCTGTTATTTTTTTTTGTTTGGTTTGGGGATTTTTTATTTTATTTTAATTTTTGGGGGTGGTGGATTTTTGTTTGTTTTGTTTGTTGTTGCTGTACTTTTGACCCAGTTTGTGAGAGCAGACTTTGTTAGGGCCAGGATTTTACATTCTGGGCACACTGAGGTTGAGCATTGAGGTTAGCAAGCAATGATAATGTGTTTCAATTAAACTCATCCTCTTCTTCCTCAGTGTCTCTAAAACTTCAGGATCCACATTCACCTGAAAGTGGGTACAGCTCCTGTAAATGCAGTGGAATTTATGCATTCCTGCTGTGCCTGTGCATCTGAATGTGGTTACCAAGTCCCCTAGTGAAGAGAACTGGTTGGAGCATACTGAAAGCCACAGTGCAGTGCTGCCATTTGTCACTTGTTCCAGTCCAAAACACTTCTTAACCTCCAAGTCAACATACTCCAGCAGCAGAGTCTAACTTTCAGATGATCAGATAGGTGTGCAATATTGCATACATCTGCTTAAAGGATGTTTGTGCTTCCCTTACTGTGCTTGTTGACCTGGCAGTTCTTTGGTGCAGGTTGCTAATATCCTGCTGAATGGGGTGAAGTACGAGAGCGAGCTGAACGAATCGGGCGAGGCCTCGGAGCAGCCCCTGTCTGTGAAGCTGCTGTGCTCAACCATCTGCCACATGCCCAAGGCTCTGCGGAACCTCTGCATCAACCACTTCCTAGGTACTCCCAAAGCACCTCTTGCCTTCACCAGGGAGTATTGTATTTGCAGGGCACCCCTGATGAAGGCAGGAATGATGCATCTGACTCCATGTTCTCAGAAGGCTGATTTATTACTTTATGATACTATATTATATTAAAGAATACTATACTATACTACACTAAAGAATACAGAAAGGATACTTACTCAATGCTAAAAAGATAATAATGAAACTTGTGACTCTCTCCAGAGTCCTGACACAGCTTGGCCCTGATTGGCCAAAGAGTGAAAACAACTCACAGCAGAATGCAGTGAAACAATCACCTGTGGGTGAACAATCTCCAAACACATTCCACATGAGCACAACACAGGAGAAGCAAATGAGATAAGAATTGTTTTCCTTTCCCCCGAGGCTTCTCAGCTTCCCAGGAGAAAAATCCTGGGCAAAGGGACTTTTCAGAGAATGTGAACGCCACAAGGGAGGATTCTACCTTGGGTGAACCTTTTTCAGTTTTATCTATTGCTGCAATGGCTGCTGATAGAGACAACTTGATTTCTTCCATGTAGATACTAATGAGGTACCTTCTTAGAACAATTAGAAAGGGAAAAAACCCCAAACATCTCAGCAAAGCAGTAAAGCCTGTGTTCCTAGAAAGGGAACAAGAGCCTAAATCAGCACATCTTAAGGGGAATGTTCACAGCAAGCAGAAGGATGAGATTAGTTGTGTTTCCATGCTTACACCCTGAGGCTGGTATTTACTGCTCATGTACAGGGGTCCCAAAACAGGCCAAGGTGTGTAACATGGCATTGCAGGAGTGCCTGTAACCAGCACAGTATTACCTTTACTCTTAACCAGTGTGTGACTGGTGTTTAGGAAGGGCTTGCAGTCGTTCCAGTTTACACTAAATTGGACAGAAGGGACCAGGTAATTAATACTCATTGGCTGTGAAAGGAATTAGGGGATTGTCTACATCAATGGCCTTGCTGCCAATTTGTGAGCAGAGTTTTTAACTGTGTCAGAGGCACTCTGGAGGCTGCAACCATGACATAAGAAGCACTCCTTCCAGTCCTATGTGGGAGGATAACAGCAACCTGAAATTACTATGGGATGAGCCACTCTGTTAAACCGAGTGCTGTGTCCTGTCAGAACCTGAAGACAGCTCAGACTGCTGTCATCTATTTTTCTGTCTTGCTAAACCAGTATTTTGTGGCCTTTAGTCAGCCTCGAGGTTTCCACTTAGGAATTCAAATGGTAAATCTTGGTCTTTAAAAGCCTGAATGTCTTTAACAAACATTGCAGCATTATGCACGGGGAGCAGCGGTCTCAGATAAATGTGGCTGGATATTATGTAACACTCAGCTTGCACAACCTGTCCTAGGGTGTGATTTGTAATGTAGCTGATAACATCCATGTAATCTTAAGGGGAAACAGATATTCTGAAATCCTAATAAGTTACTTTTCTCTTTCAGGGTGGCTTTCATTTGAGGGGATGTTACTCTTTTATACTGACTTCATGGGAGAAGTAGTGTTCCAAGGGAACCCAAAAGCACCTCACAACTCAGATGAGTATCAGAAGTACAACACTGGGGTCACCATGGGCTGCTGGGGAATGTGCATCTATGCATTCAGTGCTGCTTTCTATTCAGGTACTTGCTACAGCTGTCTTAACTACTGCTTTGGGAAAAGATACATTTCTTAAAAGTAATGATTCTGCAACAAGTAGGCCAGTGTTTATGTTGCACACAGCCTACCACATGGCACAAGTGCTGCAGCAGAGTGTTCTTTTTCACCCTGTTACCTGTGCTGCTTGGCTTGGCCTGCACTGACAGCAGGTGAGGTCAGCAGCCCAGTGAAGACACATCTCTCCTAGGATGTGGTTCCTTTCCCAAGTGGCATTTTCAAAGTACGTGGAATGCAGAGATACATGCAGTCACCATAGGCACAATTCTGGTGCACCCAGTGCCTGAGTGTCCCAGCAGAGCACTCAGGTGTCATGTGCCACCCCAGCACTTTGTCATGTGTGTCATGCCTCTGCCTGCCCACCCTCACCAGTTCCCATTTACCCCTCTGGGACAGGGGCACTGCCAGCCTCAGCTCTGCCTTGCCCTCTGTGCAGACAGGGCAGCAGTGCTGCATCGTGGAAGCCAGATTTGGAAGGGTCCTTGGCACTCACTTGCAAGCCAGCAGTTCCTCAGAGGTGCAGTGGTCCCACTGAGATGTGGCTGCCTGAGCAAGGGTGGACCCCTGAGCCCCACTGATGGGTGGCAGTGGGAGGGCTGCAGGTCACCCCAGAGCTGTACCATTTTCTCACAGCCGTGCTGGAGAAGCTGGAGGAGCGGTTTAGCACACGGACCCTGTACTTTGTGGCATATTTGGCCTTTGGGCTGGGCACGGGCCTGGCCACGCTCTCCAGGAATGTCTACGTGCTGCTGTCCCTGTGTGCTACCTACGGCATCCTGTTCGCCACGCTCTGCACGCTGCCCTACTCCCTGCTCTGCGACTACTACCAGAGCCGAGAGGTGAGCCCCGGGCTGGGGAGGGGCCCGGAGCCCCGGGACACCCCCTCACTCTGTGGCTGTGTCCCCGCAGTTCGTCGGCTCGCAGGCGGAGGGCACGCGGCGTGGGATGGGCGTTGACATCTCCTTGCTGAGCTGCCAGTACTTCCTGGCGCAGATCCTCGTGGCCCTGGCCATGGGGCCGCTGACGGCGGCCGTGGGCAGCGCCAGCAGTGCCATGTACTTCTCCAGCCTGGTGTCCTTCCTGGGCTGCCTCTTCTCCTCCCTCTGCGTCACCTACGAGCTGCTGCCCGCCGAGGAGCTGCCACCCGTCGAGGAGCAGCGCCCGCTCCTGCCCCGCGCGCGGAACGAGTGAACGGGAGAAGCTGCCCCGGCCTCTGCTGCCTCTTTGCCTCACCCTTGGCCTCCCTGTCGCCACAGGCTGTGCCCCCTGGGACGGCAGCAGCGGGCTCGGCACACGGGAAGAAAGGTCTGTGCTGGCTTTGCTGGGCTTTCCCCTGCCGGTGGGAAGGTGAGGGTGAGGCAGCGGCGCCTGGCACTGCTCGTCCTTCCCCGAGGTGGCAGAGGCCTGTCTGTTCTCCCGGGGGACAGCAGCAGGTGCTGGGGCCGTGCCCTCGGGGTGCTGCTATCCTGGGGTGACTGCCACTGTCCAGCACGGGGCAGGACACCTGCAGGTCTGGTGCCTGGGCAGGACAAGCTCCCTCTGTCACTGCTGCACAGACTGCCACCGTGGGAATGGTGACGTGCCAGGCTGGGGGCAGAAGGTGCCACCTCCTTGGCCAGGCAGAGCAGCTGTGATTCCAAGGGCAGTGGTGATTCCTGGGAGGAGCTGCAGGTCCTACCTGCAGCCTCTGCCCGTGGAAGGCCTGGCTCTGCAGGGTGCTTTTCAAAACTTTGGGAAGGCTGAGAGCAACTGGCCTCGCTCGGGTGGTGTCAGTCCTCTGTCCAGTGCCACGGGCTTCTGCTGCACAGAGCTCCCACCAGCAGAACTGCTACAAGACACCTCTGTGGGCTGCCAGCACTGTGGCCTGGCTCCCACACCCAGCTCTGGGGGTCCTGGCTGTGGTCCCTGGTGATGTTTGCCAGTACATGCATATTCCATTCCTCATTAGAGTTAATTAAGATTACAGGAGTTTGTGATGACTTAGCAGGAGGATTTGTCCATAATCCAATTCAGCAATTGTCCATAAGCCAGTTTTGGGGAGAAAGGTCTTTTCCCATCAACCTCCCTTGGGCAGAAGGTTACTCTCAAGAACTTTACTCATAAGAAAAATCATTTGTATGGAAGCCTGCATCTCATTGTTCTTGTTTATACAATCTTACCTTGGGACATGCTGAAGTCTGGGGATCAGTGGCTAAGTGCTTGTCAATTACAGCTGCATCTTCCACATCTCACTGAAACCAGTAAAAGGGCTTTGGGTTTCATTACCTGAGAGATTCCTTAATTATTCTGATTTTAGAAGGTGGTGGGTGAGAATTTTCTCAAGTTCTAGTTAAGACCAGGAGTTAATTTTAAGTCATTAATTAAGCTATTTCTAAAGCCCCTGTCAGTCTGCCTCTGTATTTGGGTGGGCAGCCAAGTTCTGCCAAGGCTGGTGGGCATTTGGTGTTCACATGTGCTGTGCATGGCATCCCTGTAGAGATGATATTTGGCCCCCAGATCCAGAAGAAGGCTTTTCTCTGGAGAGTCACTCCTTTTAAATGGGTTGCATTTCACTGCTCACCTAAGCTGATTCTGATCTATGATGCCAGTGAAATAATGTGTGTAATCTTTAGTTGTGGTGGCTTACTGTAATCCAGTGCTGAAAGCATAATACATAACTTGTAAGAACCCCTGGTTTTTATCATCTGCTCCCAATATTTATATTTTAGAAGCAAGTTTCATATTACTCAATGTTGACTTAAACACAAGAATACTGCTGAAAGTATGAAGTCAAGCACTCAGACATAAGGGACTGTCAGACTGATGAGTACATTCACCTTTCATTTCTTTCTTTGGGCTTACATGGTGTCACACCTGCAGGAATATCTGTGCCATTTCCTTCATTATGGGACAGCTGTCTCCAAGAATGTTCAGGACAAAGCTGGGACAAATAACATGAGAAAAAATGGCATTTGGCACTTCTGACAATCTAAAGACTTGACTTTGGAAAATTATTCTTTTCTTGTTAGTCTGCTTTGTAATCTTAATTTCTCTTCCTTCTCAAACTTTTAAACTCAAAAGCTATTTTGTTTTTTGTTTGGTCCCACTAGCTAATGTGGTATTAGTTCTTAAAATTTTTTTCTCCTCTCCTAAGTTTTGTAGCCAGCATTATTGCACTAAATGGATTGTGAGCACTTTACTTTTCCAGGGAGCTGGAGTTGCAGATGATTTTGTTGTAAGTGAAAATCTTCAAAAAATTCATAAAATCAATGTATTTGATTATAATGTTTGTCTCCATTTCCCTCTGTAAATAATATCAACTACATTTATGTAGTTATAAAACTATTGCTATGCCTGTATGCCTTCCCCAGTGGATTCTATACGACATATTTCTATTTTATGGGATATGGACTTTATTTTGCATAGGTATTTATGTAGTGGTACATACACAGGACTTCTAAGTCAACATCAGTGTGTTAATTTGGGGCTTTGAGCAATACTAGTGGTGTCTGGAAAAGAACCAGAGCCTGTCATCATGCAGAGTTAAAAATTGCACCAAATCCTTAGAAATAACTTTAAAAAGAGGCATTGCTTACTTGCTTCTTCTTTTCCTTTGTCAGACATTTTGTATTTTACAGAAATTACTGTATATGGTCACTGGTGAACTGTGAGCTGCAAGGTGATGTTTCCCTTCTGGAATCCAAAGGCTTCAAATATTCTGTCTAAATTTGCAAGTTACTGATTTAAAAAAAAAAAAAGATGCATGAGTTTAGGCAGGAAAATGATTTTATGCTGTGCTGTTTTTCAGTGATGCCTAAAGGTTAATTTTGATTAAGTCCATATCATTAAAGGTTGCTTCATGGCAATTATTTGTGATGTTTGTAAATGTATTTATTACACTTGTACAGAAGCAGGGAAAATGGGGAGAGGGATGGAGAAAAGACCTAACTGGTTTTCACATGTTTGTAATTCAGCTACCTGTGACCACTTCAGCATGTCTGCAGCTCACTCATCCTCTGCTGTGTCACTCAGAAAAACTTCATGATTTCTGAACTTCTGCTGTTCTTTGGTTGGAAAAATAACTCTTTTCAAGAATAAAATATAATAAAATTTATATCTATAAATATAGTATGTATCTAAGTATATATAAGGTACATTGGGAAGTATTTAAGTGTTCTCCAGACAATTTATTTTGTACAAATGAGTAATTAACTTTGCACTCTATAGGAGATACACTTTATTAAAACAAGAATATGTGTAAAAGGTAACTTTCTTACCGTGTTCTCCCTCCCTCAGAGGTTGGTTACACTCACAGCTTTACTGAGGTGCAGCACTGGAAACTCGTCTTTGCCTGACATTTGTAGAATCATTTGAGTGTTGCACAAAGGAAACCCCAAAAAGCTCAGGGGGGCATCTAAGGTAGGAGAGACTTTGGTGGGTTTCCTGTCTCTGGGAACAGGGTCAAATATGGGATTAAACAGTAGGACTTGTAACTCACTCCCCCAGCCCCTCTTTAACGAGACTGAAATCTTTCTCTTTTGCTTTTAAATGAACAAACAGGCCCAGAACCTTTCAGAAAGTAAACAGAAAACCAGCTGTACTTCTGTTTGCATCTGTCTGTGCCAGGCCTGCCCTGAAGCACTGCACTGCTCTGTTACAGCAAATCACAGCCAGGAGGCAAAACTCTGACAAGAGGAGCTGGCCGAAGGCAGCGGGCAGAGATGTGCCACTGCTGCCGGCAGAGCACCGGGAACTTCCTCCTGCATCGGAGCAGCAAATCCTCTGCTCTGCAGCACACGTGCAGCAGGAACTCTGACTGACAGGAGTCCGGAGAAAGCAGCAGACGGACGGTGCAGAGTGCAGAGGTAACATTTTAATGGGGTCAGGTGCACCGACAGGGCAGGAGAGTCCGCGGGGCCGGAGCAGTCCCGGGGCCGGAGCAGTCCCGGGCCCCTCGGGACCCTCCCGGCCGGGCCGGTGCAGTCCGGGATCCGGAGCAGTCCGGGATCCGGAGCAGCCCCGGGCCCGGTGCAGTCCGGGATCCGGAGCAGTCCCGGGGCCGGAGCAGTCCCGGACCGGTGCAATCCCGGGCCGGTGCAGTCCGGGCTCCGGAGCAGTCCCGGATCCGGAGCAGTCCCGGGCCCGGTGCAGTCCGGGATCCGGAGCAGTCCCGGATCCGGTGCAGTGCCGGGCCCGGTGCAGTCCGGGATCCGGAGCAGTACCGGGCCGGTGCAGTCCCGGGCCGCTCGGACCCTCCCGGCCGGGCCGTGTCAGGGCGCGGTGCCGCTGCCGGGCTCGGCCGAGCCGTCCGCAGGGGCAGCCTCGGGCTGCTGCTCGCGCTGTCGCCGCCGGCGCAGCCTCTCGGCGCCGGTCACCGTCATGGGGTGGAGCGGCAGGAACCCCGCCAGCCCTGCCCGGGGAGACGCGGTGAGAGCGGGAGCGAGCCCGGCCCCCGCCCCCATCCCCGGCTCCCCCCGGCCTACCCAGGAGCTTCTCGGCGGGCCGGGAGAGCTGCGCGCCGCAGCCCAGCCAGTAGCGCAGCCGCTCCAGGTTGAGCCCCGCCACCTTCTCGCCGTGCGCGTTGGGCAGCGGGTCGAGGCAGCCGAGCTGCTCCAGGTACTTCCCGTCGCGGGCGCGCCGGCTGTTGGCAGCCACGATGCGGAAGAACGGCCGGTTGGTGCAGCCCCCGAGCGCGAAGCGGATGACGACGTGGCCGCCGCGGCCCCTCAGGAGGCGGCTGCCTGCGGGGAAAGCGCGGGGCGGTCACGGACGGACCGGACCGAGCCGGGCCGGGCCGCTCCGAGCCCGCCGCACTCACCGAGCTGCACCATGGCGGCGGCACGGCCCGCGCGCGGCGCGCAGAGATGACGTAAGGGGCACGGCCCGCGCGGTGGCTGCCGGGAGTTGGAGTCTGAGGTGGGGTGATGACGTCATTGGGGCATCCCAATGGCACGCAGTGCTGCGGTGGGGAGCACGGGCTCCCCAAAAAGGGACTTAAAAATAACCCCCCGTATCAGGATTTTGGAGTATAAGAAACTCCGAATGTAGCACTGGAGGGCTTTCCGATGGAAATGTATCTCGAGGCGTGGTTTGAAGATGCCGGCAGAGGCGGGGTACGGCGCACCCGAAACGCGGGGAAGGCGCGGAGCCCCGGCAGCGCAGCGGGCCCGGGCCCCGGCACCGCGCGATGGCAGCCGCTGCCGCCGCCTGCCGCCCGGCGCGGGCACTGCAGCCGCCCGCCCGAGGGGCGCATGCGCGCCGAGCTCAGGACTCGCCGGCGCCGCCTGGCGGTGAAAGGCGGCAGTGCGGCTGCCCGCGCTGGCTCCGTGCGGGATCGGGGCGAGCTCAGGGCTCGGCTCCGGGAGGAAGGGAGCGCTTAGGAGAGCGTTTGGGGTAGGATTAGGGCTTGGGTTAGGGTTAGTTTAGGGTTAGAGTTTGGGGATTTTAGTTAGGGATTAGCGTTTGGGGTTAGTGTTATTTTTAGGGTTAGGATCTTTGATTCGGGTTGTGGTTGTGCTTATGATATGTTCTGTAGTTTTTTATGACCCCATGTTGGTCCGGAATCGCATAGCATCTTTTTTTTTTTTTATTTTATTTTTAAAAATTTTATTCTGTCATTTTATTGCATTTGAATGCCCTATACTTGTACAGACAGTGTGTTTTGCCCTTACGTACTTTGCACCCCATGTTGGTCCGGAATCGCATAGCATCTTTTTTTTTTTTTTTTAATTTTATTTTTAAAAATTTTATTCTGTCATTTTATTGCATTTGAATGCCCTGTACTTGTACAGACAGTGTGTTTTGTCCTTACGTGCTTTTTGCAGAGTATTTTAGCAGGAGCAAGAACCTCTTGCCCCGGCTCAGGTTTTTCCCTGTAAGAGCTTAATTATTTTGCCTTTTATTAAAACTTTTCTGTTTCCAACACCAACTCAGAAGCCATCCTGCTGATTTTATGCCATTTGAGGTAGCTGAGCTATCTCAGGTGTGATGGGTTCTCTGAGAGCTCCTAAGATCTGGCTCGAGGAGGAAACCCATGCTTTTGTATTTCATTTCTGTGTGTTTAAAGTGACTGGGATTCTGAGGGATTGAAAATGTATGGGGTCATGTTATTTGTTCTGTCATCTGTGTTGCACTCTAAAGCCCAGCACTGGCACAGACTTTTGTTCAAGGCAGAGTTGTCCTTGGTTTTGCACCAATCTGCATTGAAACCAGTGTAAAATTATTCTCTCAAATGACCAAGCTGTACAGAAATATATTTGAGGACGTGTAGCTGAAAAGAAAGTGATTCACTAAATAATAATAATAATAATAATAATAATAGTAATAAAGATTTGTTTGTTCCCTCTTTGGCTTCTGTCTTTCTTTGGTGTTATTTGCTTTTTTTTTGTTTGTTTTGTGTTATGAGTCTCTCCCTGTCCCTCTGCCTCTTTCTCACCCCCTTTCCCCCTTTGTGCCTCTCTGTCTCTCTCCCTCTCCGATCTTTGTCCCCTTCTCTCTCCTTTTCACCTCTCTCCCATCTTTTCCTCTCTTTCCTCTTTGCTTTGCCTCTTTTACTCTCTCTTGTCTTTTGTTTCTTCTTGTCTCACTTTCATTTCTCTCTTGTCTTTGTCTCCCTTTTGTCTCTCCCTCTCACCCATTCCATTCTGCACTCTTGCAGGTGATCAGCACGCACAGAGAAGCTGCAGCTCCAGTGCCCTGGGCAGGGTCTGACCCTCCCAGCAGCGCTGGGACTTCGAGGATCATCCCCTTCCCACCCTCCTCCCTGCCGGGGGCAGCTCTTGGAGCTCTGGGTGCTGAGAATTTCAGACTTTCTGTGCTGACAGACTCTGGCCCCCAAGAGAACACTGCATTGACCTGAGGCCGTGGAGAAGCTTCCAAAATGGAATGACAGAACTGGGATTGTGGGTGTGCAGTTTGAATAGAAGTGTGTAATGTCACAGGGTGGGAAACTTAGAGTTTGAGGGTTTAGAATATAGGAATAGATATAGAGCAGGATGGAGGTTTAGGGTGGAGGCTGCTCCTTATTCTTTACCTTCTTCTTCACCTTCTCCTTGGGTAGTTTTGTGTAATTGGATAAAAAAGTTCCCAATGCAGACCATGGGTGGTTGGTTATTGGCTTAAAAGTAAAAATAATTTGCTTTCTGAGAACATGGAGCCAGATGCACCATTCCTGCCTTCCTCGGGACGTTCCCTGCAAACACAACACAGCAGCTCCTCAGACTCAGAGGAGGGATCCCTGCCCTCGTCAGACACTTCACAGTGAGGTGGTTCCCTCCCTGCAGACAGCAGGGTCAGGCTTCAAAGCTGCCCCTCCAAAGGGGGATCCCAGGGTGAGGAAAAGGCACCCCATGGACAGGCTCTGCATTGTTGTGCAGAGCCAATTCTGTGCTCACCTGCCCTTGGGAATCCAGCTGCTCACTGCTCCAGCATGATGTAGCTTTACCTAGGCAGCATCTCGGATTCTTCAAGAGCCAAAATGACAAAAATAATATTGGAACTTTTCAATTGCTCTAGGTTTGCCCTAAACCCCAACTTTCCTCTTAGTAAGTGGATTGGGAGGAAACATAAAATGCAAATAGAGGAAAAGGTCATTTTCCAGCTCTACCTTTGCCAATGCATCTCTGTCCTGTGCTTTTCCTTTTCCCTTTGGAACTGCCCGAGTTTCCTCAGCAGAGGGAGCTCCAGCTTTACGTTTGCCCCCCTCGCCTTTCCCGAGTATTGCCCCAGAGGAGCTGGGCGCGAGTTCCTGCTTCTGGAGCCTTCCCTGGGCAGCAGCACCCACCCACCCACCTCTGCTGGGTACCTTTCCCTGGAGATGCCACCCGCCCTTCCTTGGGCACCTTTCCCCGGGCATCCCCACCCCTGCGTGGGCAGCCCCATCCAGCCCCAGCTCAGGATGTGCCCCGGCCTCACCCTGACCTGGCAGCTGCTGACAAAGGTGCCGTGGGGGGAGTTGAAGTCCTGCAGGATGAAGCTGTTCTCTGAGGCGGAGAATTCCAGGGCTGCACGGCGATCTGCTACCCCTGGAGACTGGGAGCAGGAAGGGAACGCTGCTGGAGGTGGCTCCAGGCTCATTCCTGCTTTGCCAAACCCCTTTCCTGGCCGTCAGTCCCAGCACAAACTGGTACTCCACACTTTGCACGGAGGGCTCCAGCACATCCCCTGCCCTCCATCCCCCTCCCATTTCAGGACGCTCAGCTGCCTCGGCCCCACCTGCAGGACGATGTTGGCCCCTCTGTGGCTCCCGATGGTCCTGGTGTGGGATTCCAGCTGGAAACACCCGGAGTGCTTTGGAAAGGCTCACCTTGCCTGGCTCACCTGCAAGGCTTGCACCAAGAAACCAACTTCTCATTCAGCAACCTCCCACCCAACACAACCTGAGGCACGAGTGGCTCAACAACTCATGCACTAGAACTGCACAAAATAACCCCAAAAGCAGCTCTCTCCAGCTGGCAGTGTGGCTGCAGTAGCCTTGGAAACCTTGGCCATGCTGCTGCCTGCCTGGGTGAGTTTTTCCTGTTTGTTTTGTTTAGTTTAGGGTTTTTTCCTCTCCTTTTTCCAAGCAACTATCCTGGCAGCACAACACAGCTCCGTGCTGGCGTGGCCACAGCGATCCCATCAGCTGGGGACACACGTGGGAATGTGCATCCCAAACCCCACAGGGGCCCTGCCACCTGCCAGGGCTCCCAAAAAACCTTTTTGCCCCCATTTTCCTTATTTTTTATTTAATGTCATGCATACACACACACACAGACACACACACAAACACGTCTTGCAACCTCAGGCAAGGGGACAAACATTGCTGTCAGGTGGATTCTGTCACCCACGAGTGCTTCTCCATCAGTATTCCCTGGTCCTAGGCTGCCACACTTTTTACAGCAGAAAAAAAGGGAAAAAGCCACACTTGCCACGACCAAACCCCAGCCTGGCCTCACAAGTACTGCAAGATTTCCTCATGCTTCATTTCAAGGCGGAAGCAGCAGATTTTGCAAAGTCGAGTTTCTCTGCAAACCTCTGCCAGTCTGAAGCCACTAGACCTTTCACTTCCTGCCCTTGCCCAAAACAACAGAAATTAGCAAATTCAATAGGGAATAATAATTAACAAGAGAAACTGTTGGGTGGTTTTGGCCAGCATCTCTACTTTGGTTTCTTGGACTCCTCTCATAGCTGGTGCTGCCTCAAGCCAGCCCCAGCTGAGCCATAACCTGGACATGGCCCGGGGTGGACATGGCAGTGCTGGTCTCGATGACCTTGGAGATCTGTTCCAACCCAGCCATTCCAGGATTACATCAATATCAGCATCACACTGGCAAATCCCACCTCAGACTGCCTGAGGGAGCCCGTGGCTGGTTGTGCTGATGGACTCTGTGGGTGGTGGCTTTGCTGGAAGCCTGCACAGGGCTGGAATGCCCATGGAGCAGCATCTGCTGATGGATCACAGACTTTGGGAAGGGCCAACCATGCACGAGCACACAACACACACACACAATGTAAAAAACACACACAAAATGTACAAAACACACACACATCATGTAAAAAACACACACACAATGTACAAAACATGCACACATAATGTAAAAAACACACAATGTACACAACACACACACACACTCAATGTAAAACACACACATGATGTACAAAACACACACAACACAAAAAACACACACAACGTTTACAACACACACACAATGTACACAACACACACACAGAGCATACACAGCACACACACAACATAAAAATCACACTCACACACACAGAGCATACACAACACACACACAACATAAAAATCACACTCACACACACAGAGCATACACAGCACACACACAACATAAAAATCACACTCACACACACAGAGCATACACAACACACACACACAGTGTACAAAACACACCAGCAAACACAACATACAAAACATTTATTCAGAGCAGTCTGCCTGCACAGGATGCTCAGCAGTGGTTTCACCCCTGGCACTGGCACACGCAGCTCCCAACCCCCCAGAGTCACCCACTTGCCTCGAATGGAGCACGAAACACCACAGCGAAAGCAGCAGAGGCAAGAAATCCATCCTCTCCCTGAGGAGCAGGAGGCCCCTTTCAGCTGCTTCCCACCAGCCAGCAGAGACCTTGGCAGGAGTCAGGGCTGGCTCTGGGCCACCAGCCCAGCCCAGCTGGGAGCAGGGAAAGCCGTGGTGCCTCTCTGGCAATGCGCTTCCCCTTCCTCAGAAAGAAAAGACACCCGAAAAAAGAAACATTTCACTTTTCCACTTGGAAAATCCTTCTGCATCATCAGTTTGGTGGCTTGGAAAAGTCTTGCTGGAAGAGAGGGGGAGAGGAGATGAGAGGATGCACTGGGTGGTCTCATTTCAAACACCACAAGTGACACTTTTGGCATGCCCAGCCTTCATTTACTTCACAGCAGCAGAACTTGTGGCGTTCAGGTTTCTTTCCCCACAGTCTTTTGTAAAACTCAGTCCCAGGGAAAATGAGTTCCATCCTTGTGCCACAGCACGTCCTCGACGTGGCAGCTTCCAGGGAGCCCTGGCTGCTTCTGCACCCACACACCAGCCCCCTCTTGGCACGGTGGGTTTTAGAAAACCCTCAACCAAGCAGCATCACAGATTCCTTTTTTTAAGGCATTTGCTGGCCCACTGGCATTTTCTCCTGGATCTCCTCGTACTTGGGCGGAGGGGTGAGAGGCTCTATCGTGATAGGGACGCTGCTGTTGCCCTGCTCCAGGTTTAGCCTGATGTCCTTCAGGTGCAGCTTCTCTGACTTGATCCTGCGCACCTTGAGGGGCTTGAGGCGCTTGCTGAGGCGGGAGCTGTGCCGGCTGGGCGGCCTCTCCACGCCGGGCTCCGCGCCCGCCGCTCCCGGCGCCGCGCCGCTCTCCTCCAGCCCCGCCAAGGACTCGTAGGAGGGCAGGGACACGCTGAGCCTGTTGCTCCTGTCCGAGTCTCTGGGCTCCGAGTAGCCAGTGTTCATCACCTCCTCGTAGCTGGGCACGTAATATTGGGAAGAGACATCTTCATCCTCTTCTTGACTGGAGGGGAAAGAGTTAAGTCTGTCATTTCAGTTTCGTTGTGGGAAGGGGATGGAGAGGGAAGAATAAAGCTACCCCACCCCACCAGAAATAGTTTTTGCCCTTCTCCATTATATGCCAGTTTCCTTTTGCTTGACAGAATAAATAGTGACCCCACCTAAGTTCAGAGAAATTTTATTTTCTTGTGACTTATGGCCATATTTGATCATCACTTCCTCTGCCCACAGACCCTTTTCTATTGCCTAGCAGTGATTTCTTCTCTCAAGAGAACATCAGTTTCTCTGCTCCACTCACAAAAATCAGTCAAAATACATTAGAAAAGGACATCCATCAGCCCTCTGTCTTTGTCATTATGATGTCTTATGGGTTGGAGAGAAATTTTATTTTCTTGTGACTTATGGCCATATTTGATCATCACTTCCTCTGCCCACAGACCCTTTTCTATTGCCTAGCAGTGATTTCTTCTCTCAAGAGAACATCAGTTTCTCTGCTCCACTCACAAAAATCAGTCAAAATACATTAGAAAAGGACATCAGCCCTCTGTCTTTGCCATTATGATGTCTTATGGGTTGGGTGCCTTGGGTTTTTCTGCAAAGAGATTCAACTTTGCTCTATGCCACCATCTATGCACAGGTACTGGCACACAATACTTGCCATTTCTTTGGCATTCTGAAGTTGACTTTCCAATCAAACATGGAAAATCAGTTTTGATCTGCAGACCCTGACAAGAGCCAGCAGAGCCATTGTGGCCTCCTGTCCCCTTGCACCCCACACTGCCTCAGTGCTGCCCTGCCTCTCTGTGCACAGGGAGCTGTGCTGATGGACAGGTACTTCCCCTGTGCCTGTGTTTGTCCAGACTGTGCCTGCTGAGCAGCAGCCTTTGCTCTGCTCCACAAAGCTCCCTGAGCAAACAGCTGAGCCCTGCAGACTTTCACCGGGTCTAAACTCCAAGGCTGTTTGGCACCTTGGGTGTACCCAGTGAGGCAGTCAGCCCCCCTCCTGCCCCTCTGGCTGCTCTCCCGGCCTGTGGCAGGAGCCTCCTGCTCTCTGTGTCACCCAGGACCCTGCCCAGCATTCCCTCAGCTCACTCCCATGTGCCAACCCAGCCAGGAGAGGCACCTCTCCCAACGCTGCCCTGGCCTCAGCTCTGCCTAGACCCCACCTCACACAGCAGCAGGGCTCCCTTCCACTCACAACTGCATAAATGCAGCTGGAGCCATTCCTTGCCCATCTCCAGGACATACCAAACCCCTTAACTTGGTATGTGCCTCTTCACTTCAGCACATGTTGCCTTCCTCTCCTCCTCCCGATCTTCCTGAGCTAACAACAGCCCTTGGCTTCATTCCCCCACCCAATCCCTCTCCTTTTGTCCCCAAAACTCCTCTCACCTGTCCTCCTGCTGCGAGGGCTCCGCGGACGCCTGGTGCTGCCCGTGAGCGATGGCCAGCTCTTCGCTCTGCCTCTTCTTGTCGCGGACGTTGAGGCAGAGGGAGAGCAGGAGCAGCAGCAGACCGGCCCCCACCAGCACGTAGGCCACCGAGAAGGTTTTGCTCTTGAGGATGCCCCCGGAGCCGCGGTCGGGCTTGCTGCTGTTGCCGGCCTGGCCGCCGGGTTTGTCGGGGGGGCCGAAGCCGGGCACGAGGTTCCACACGGCCATGATGATGCCGAGCACCAGCATGCCCAGCCCGATGGCCGTCAGGGCGTAGTGGGACCCGTTGGCCCGGGACTGGGCCATGGCTGCTGGGGGCTGTCCCCACGTCACCGCATGGCTCGGGGCTGGGGGGCTGCAGCCCTGCTGGCATGCGTGCGGGCCCCTCCCCGGGCAGGCAGAGAGCTCTGGGGACAGAGGGGAGGCTGTGGTGAGTGCACGGCAAACAGCGAAGGCTCTGCAGCCACCTCGACACCAGTTTATCCACCTGACACTGGAACCTCAAGCTCCTCAAGCTGAGGAGTTCATGTCAGGATAGACCAGGGTAGATCCTTCCCGGCCGTTCCCATCCCCATCCTTCACTACTTTCTCAGCTGTAATATCCACCAACCTTTGAAAGCAATCAAATCACTGATGTTTGCTAAAGGCTTAGGTTGCCTGTCCTTAGGAGTGTGATAACTGACAGCTTCACAGCACCAAAAGGCGGCCATCAAAATCTCTTTCAAGAGCTGTTGTCAATGCAAACCAACCTGGAAATGCTCAAAAACACACCTCCAGCTGAACAGCTTCTCCTCTCCCCCTGTCTGGGAGGCAGCAGGGCTCCTCAGGGCGCTGGCTGCCTGCCCTGGAACGCCTTCCTGCCCGGAAAACAGAAACCAAAACTGCCTCTCTCCCAGCCAGCTCGACCCTGTGGCTTCCCCTGGCTGCCGGCATGGTGAGCCCTTGGTAGGGCCCCTGACTCACTTCAGGCCAGCTCTTGCCATCCCTACACTGGTGCTGAATGCCCCAGCTGCATCGCTCAGGGATGTCGAGCACGAACATTCCTGACCAGCCAGGCCACGGGTGGGAACTCCTCCTCTGACTGTTTTCTGAGTTGCCAGGACCAAATGTGCTCGATTTCCAAAAATAAACACACAGAGCCACACCTCCTGCCCACTTGCCTCCCTGGCCTTGGATTCCCACGGGTGGGCAGCTTGCATCCTCACAGCAGAACTGCTCCATCTCCACCCCAAGTGAGCCATGCAGATTTATGGATGTGCCATGTCAAGGATCTCTCCTTCCCTCCCTGGCTTCTTTATGCCAGGTTAGGCTCGAGGTGGCTCTGGTCTGTGCTGTCAGTGGTGCTATATCCATACACACCCCCCACCCTTCAGCTCAACCCTCCTGAGTGCAAAAGCTTCATGTTTGCTTGTTTAGCTTGAGTGCACGCCCAGTTTGCAGGGTCAAGGGCCAGAATAAAACAGCACTCCCAGAAAACAGAGCGGCTGCAGCAGGAAAAGACACGCACGCAAGCCTGGAGAGGAGGAATCTGCAGAGGAACTTCCCTGCCCACCGCCTGTGCTCCAGCATGGCTGTGGAGACCTCCAGAGGGCTGTCCCAGCCCCTCTGGACACATCCCTGGCCCCACATGGGTCTGGGCAGGGTAAAGTCTTGTTCCCCATGGTTTTCTGGGGCTCTGGGACACCCAGGAGCTGCTGATCCCAGCCCGATGGGAGCTGCCACAGGCAGGCAGGGACAAGCCCATCATTCCCTGCCATGCCAGCTCCAGCACAGGCTGCTGCTCTGTGTGCTCCTGGGGGAAGGTATCCACTGAGCCCAGCTTTAATTCCATCCTAGTGAGCAGCTGTTGAGGATGTGGAAAGCACTGCACCCAAAATGTCCTCACCTGGATCCCAAGAGCCATCCTCCCACCCAAGTGCTTCCAAGCCTGCCACTGGTGGCACCAGCTCTGCCCTCTGCCCTCCCACACAAAGGTTTTGCTCTCTGCTTGTGCCCTGTGGAGTTTTTCCCTCACCTGATGATCCGGCTGAGCTCCCATCCTTGCCACAAACACATCAGCCAGCCAAGACTTCACTTGAGAACAGCTGTGATGGCCTTGGGGCAGGAAAACCGCACTGCGCCCACGGTGGGCACAGAGCACACACACGGCTGGTCACATCTACCCGTGGTGTCTAAATCTCTGCTCACAGTCTCTGTGCCTCCCCTCAGGCACCTCAGTCCTGGAAATGGGCAGGATTTCAGCTCCTACGTCACCTCTGTGCCTGGAAGTTTTTTACACATCCATTGCAGTGCTACCCATCAGCCCAGCAATCAGATTAAAGCAGGAGACTTGCTATTCCAGTCTATTTCTCCATTGAATTAGCTGCTCTCCTGGCTACCCAGAGATGTTCCTATCACTGCTCCAACAGTGCCCTGACGTCAGTATCCCGGGAAGGGAGCTGCTGCTGTCTCTGCCTCAGCTCCAGCACTGTCTGGAAGCTCATCCCAGCATCACAGAATGGTTTGGGTGGAAAGGGACCTTAAAGCTCATCTCATCCAACCCCCTGCCATGGGCAGGGACAACTTCCACCATCCCAGGTTGCTCCAAGCTCCATCCAACCTGGCCTTGAATACTCCTAGGGACGGGGCAGCCACAGCTTCTCTGGACAACCTGTGCCAGGGTCTCCCCACCCTCACAGGGAAGAATTTCTTCCTAAATATCCAGTCCAAATTATCCCTCTTTTACTTTAAAATCATCTCCCCTTGTCCTTTCACAACAAGCCCTGTAAAAAGTTTGTCCCCACATCAGGCTGGTGAGCGATGCCTGAGTGCTTCAGCCCCTAGAGCCCCCTTCCCCTCTGCCTGCAAACCAGACCCCTCCATCCCTTTCCCTGCCTGCCCGTGCCCTGCCCTGGCAATGATTTACACCAGGATCTCCAAACCATTAAACTCCAGCACGGCCGCAAAGCCCGGGGGCACCCACAGCTCCGCAGGGCTTCCCGCACCTCTGCCCTACTCCTGCAGCTGCCGGAGCCTTTGGGAAGCTCTTGCGACATCTCCAAGTGTTAGCTGGCCACGGGAAGGTTCGGGATAAGCCCGTTCTCAGCACCACACGCCCCGAAGGCTTTGGCACGGGCGGCCAGGTGGAGCAGCAGCAGGAACAGCTTCCCTCCGTGGGACACAGACCCCCGACAGGGTCAGCCCGGATCGTGCTCCACATCCCGGTGCCCCGGGAGGAACCGTGGCCCTGCTGGGTGACTCACGAGGAAGCCCGACACCCCCTGCTGCCCTCCCAGCACCCACGCTCCTCTGCCCTCCACAACCTTTGGATTTTTCCCTGCCGTGACATCACCTTCCCACTCACGCTCCAGCAGCAACACCTTTGTCACAGGGTCACGGGAGATGAGTCTGCAGTCCAGGGAACAGGTCGAGCCCCGACGCAGTCACCAGACCTGGGATGAGCTCCAGGGCTTCCTTGCTTGTCGCCGCAGAGCGACACAGAGCTGCCTCCAAAAAACAGGGTGTGACTCCATCACCAGTCACACAACTAATTTTCTGGAAAATTCTGGGGGAAAATAAACCTATTCTCCAACCATCTGAAGATTCCAGTCTCCTCTCTGTTAGATTACCTTCATCTTCATGCTTCCACCCAGAGAACCTGCTCATTAACCTCTTTCCCTGCTAATTGCTGGCCTGGCACATCCTCAGGAGCTTCTTTCTGCAATGACCACAGCCTCGTGTGTTACACAGGGCTTCAACCCACCAGGAACACAAAACTCCATGTGAGGGTCTACAAAGCAACAGATCAGGACTTGGGAGGTATTTTCATAGAGTCCCAGAATGTTTGGGTTTGGAAGGGATCTTAAAGACCATCTACTTCCAACTCCCTGCCATGGTTTCTCTTTTTGTCCCTTTTTGCTGTCCCTGTCACCCCTGCCTCAGGAACAGGGATGTTTCTGGCCAGCTGCAGCCCAGAAGATGCAGGGAATAGCCAGAGAAATCCAGCTGAGTCACAAAAAGAAGCACTGCTGCTGATTTAGCCAATTTCTGATCTTTTGGACAAATTCCAGCCCGTTTTAGAGCATCTCACCAGGGAGTAGGAATCTGGAGGGACAGCCCTACACAGACTATCCACATTTTGCTTTTCCACATTTTGCTTACACTTCCTGCCTGGAGCACAAAAGAACACATCCACATCTCCACTGCCCACAGCATTCCCTACAGACATTTAAGAGGCATTTTACCCTCTTTCTTAAATTTAATTCTTAACAACCCCTCCTCAGTTGTACCTTGTAGGCAGCACTGGGGGAACAGTGACGTTTTCCTCAAACCTTGCCCAAGGCTCTCCCACTCCAGAGGGAGCCCAGGGCTCCCAGCTCTGCCACTTCCTGCAAAACAAGGGCAAAGCCCATTCCCAGGCTCAGATTGCTGCAATCCACCCGGCTGGCCGTGGCCTCCACAGCAGAACAACAGTGACAGGGCCCACAAACCCCCCATTTCCACAAAGCTGTGCCTGACCACTCCCAAGCCATATGCACCTGCCTCTGCTGTGTCCCTGGGAATTCTGGGCACAGCTGCCAAGGGTTTCTGAAGTGGCACAGATCACACAGGGCACGGTAGCAAACTCCAGAGCTGTAATCATGACTGTGCAGCAGCCACCACCTTGGCCTTTGCCACTGAGATACAAGAAACTGCCTCCCAGACTCCCGCTCCCCGTAATTCCATTACACCCATCCAAGCGGCGCCTGCTGCAGTGGCAATGGACAGGGACAGGGACAGAGAGTCCTTTCACGTTTGTGTTTCAGGACATTGCCATTTGTTCCTGGGGACAATGCTGCCGTGGCCACCGAGGCCACGCTGGCACCGGCTCTCGGCAGGTCGGCGAGCCCCGGCTGTGTCCTGGTTGCTGTGTAAACACTGTCCTGGGGCTTTTCCTGCTCCAGGCTCTGCGACTGGCACTGGGACCAGCTGCAACACTAATGCTTTCAGGCCCAGCTCTGCTAAACCAGGGAGGGGGGCTTGGGGTGATGCCTAAGGTTTTTTAGCTTTTTATATTTTTCATGTATTTGTAGCTCTGTAGATTGTTAATGCATGGCTGTAACTCCCAGTACTTTTCCTATCTTTCTTCTCTACATTTAGGAACAATACGCTAACCTAAGAAACACTTTCCCAAAATACTGCTTTGTCTTATTCCAAGAAGAGAACTGACTACAAGGATGCCCTGTTTTCCAAACAGAATCTGGACCAGACAAAACAAAACTGGAGCAAAAAAAAGCCTCTGGACAGCTTCCAGTGTGGCAGGACCCTGGAATTATTACCTAATCAACTAACCTTTTAATTGGAGAGTATATGATAAGCATACTAATCGACTAACCTTATAAAAATTGTAGAATTACTACACTATGTGTGATTTTTGCCACATTGTGTACCTGAAAGCTTTCAAGTAAAGGTTTGCTTTTACATCCACTCTAATGTTGTTGGGAAGATCTATTCTATTTTCCAGGCAACAGGGGTGCTCATCTTTCTCCAGGGAGCTGAATTCCTTGTGCACCTAGGCCAGGGAAGGCACGCCTGCCTAGGAAAATCCCAGCACTTTGACTCTTTCTCCTTCCTGCTTTCCTTTGGACACGACTTTGCACCTCTGAGTTTGGAATTTTTTTTTTTTTTTTCTTTAATTCTAATCTGCTGTTTCAGCTGAGATAAAGCCATTCCTCCACAGCTTCCCCCTGGTTTTTGTTCTGGGACCTCTCCCCAGATAACACCCAGACAAACACACCCTCCTCCAGAGCCTTCCAGCATGGGGAGACATTATCCATCTGCCCTTCTGGTGTCCTCCGAAGCAGATCCCAGCACTCCTGCTTCCTCACAGCCCCTCTGGAGTGCTTTAAGCACCTCCTGTCCCACACTGGAGCCCCTGGATGATTATCTCCCCTTCCTGCAAGCCACTAACCTGGCACTTCTCACTGGCTGTCATCGGCCTCGCCAGCACAGCCTTCCTCATCCTCTGCCTGGATTTCCAGCAAGGCGTTTTTCCCCAACACAGCAACACCTCTCCCCATGCTTTTCCAAGGAGTATGACCACAAAGAAAACCCACTGTGGACAGCCAAGGAGCTCCCAGGGGAGGAAGGGAGTGAGGCTGATGCTGGAGGGCACAGAGCCAGCCTGGGGACACGGAGCAGGCCGGGCAGCCAAGCGACACGGAGCAGCCAGGCTCAGAGCAGCCGTGTTCCGCAAGGTGGGCACAGGTATTTTGATATGGATGGAGGTTTGCTGGGGATTATATTGCTCCACGCCACCTGCACTGCTCACACGGGATATTTAGCTGCTTCTACAGAGCCCTGACACCAGTTTCTGTCTATGAAATACACTGGGAATGAGAAAAGCAGCATGGAGAGGCAGACACATACCTGGGCTGCTGGAGGGATCCCTCCTCCCCGGCTCCAGGCAGAGGAGCAGGCAGACAGCCCTGCCCAGCCCTGGCCCTCTGGCATCTCCTGCAGCACCGCCACGGCGCCAGGCACTGGCACTCAGCTCCCTCCAGGGCACCGATGGCCAAACATTCCTCCTTCCCCAGCCACTTCCCTTCCCAAGGGTTTTCCAACCCGTGTAATTACACAGCTAAAATCAAAGGTGTTTCACATACTTCCGAGTCACCCGAGTCCGGGACTGGGTTCACCAGCCCCACACCCACATGTTCTTCGCTGACACCTGGGAGATTTCCCTTTCTGGCTCTCATGCCAGGACATCCAGGGCTGTGGACAGTTGCAGGATGCTTGGATTTGTTCTAGAGGGATGTGTTGTGCCAGCATCCTTTCTGCCAGTGGCCTAGGTCTGCTCCAAAGAGGGTTGAAGGAGCTGGAAAGCCAGGACCACATCTCCAGGTGCAGCTTCACCTCACCAGGCTCCGTCCACCACACAGAGCCAAGGTAACCCATCTCACACGGGACAAGCTCATGGAACTGCTGGTTTCTGCTCACACCTCCACAATTCCCAACAAATCCAGCTTCCCAACGCAGACTCCCCGACAGTGCTCAGTGACACTCGTCCCCACCAAAAACCCAAAAATCAAACACCAACATCAGCAGACAACCACTCTGGGACACGCTTGGGAGACACCTGCGG